CTTGTTGTTTGTCATTTCTCCGATCACAAATGCAGCCATGGTTTTATGTTTACGCAAGCGATGCAATGCAATGCGTAAAAAGACAGTATAAGTCATTATAATCCATAATTATGTCCCCACTGGATGCAACAAATGCCTCGTTTATAATGGGTTTTAATGTTTTTGAATCGTCGCTCCGGCCGGACAGGGTGTCACAGTATGGTAAGGGGCGTAACATTTCCGTCACATGCTTGAGTTATTTGGCCAATCACAACGCACTGGATAGCTGGCCAATCAGAGCACACCTCGCTTTTCAGACCGATGAGCTTTGTAAAAATCGATGCGTTTCAGAAAGGCGGGGCATAGAGGAGAAACAATAATGTACAGTATGTGGAAAATAATGTGTTTTTTTACTTTAATAAACACCGATAAACACATTTCATTACACCAAATACACAAAATAATGTTCTTTTTAGCAACATCATATGACCCATTTAATAAAGTAGGAAGTTGAAGTTTAGAGTCAGCGATATCTTTATCTTATCTTATTTGCAAAAGATTGGAAATAATTTCAGTTTATTTTTTATTTATTTTCAGTTTTTTGTTTGTTTTAGAATCATATTTCTGGCAACACTGTATTGCCGGCACTTAAACTGAAAGCAATCAAAAAAGCCCATGGGCAGGTTTTTGCTGACAGGATACGGCATTCGGTAAGGGAAACGCAAAAATTATCATGATATTATCTGTCATAAACGTTATCAACGCTGTCAAAAACAGTAGCATTTAACACTAGTACACACAGATCTGTAGAACAAGTATGTTACAGAATGAAATGAAATATGCAAAAACTAGCCATGAAGAAGTCTATGTCATTCATTATAGTTACATTTTCACAAATCATGCTATAAACTTTCATAAAGGGCACTAGACAAAGTTATTGTAGTTATGTATTGTTGCAATAAACAACTGATAAAATTATCCACCCTTAAATATAGTAAAGTATTAACACATTTTGATGCAATAAATAGGTAACTAGACAAAGTTATTGTAGTTATGTATTGTTGCAATAAACAACTGATAAAATTATCCACCCTTAAATATAGTAAAGTATTAACAAATTTTGATGCAATAAATAGGTATGATTTAAAAGTAATCATCCCTCCAAAACAGAGAAAACATCTTTCACAAACATCTACATGCCTGTCTCCTTTAAAGTGTTTATAGTGTATATAATGAGTTGTATTTGTAGGGGTTATTATAACACAATTCTTTAACCCCCAACCACCCACACACACACACCCGGACCTCGCTAATTTTCAATTCAAAGCCTGGGTATGGCCATGAATGTATCCATACTTCATCTTCCTTCATGCTTCTCAAGCAAGTCAAAATAAATTGTATAATTAATTCATGGTGATTTTAAGTCTGAAAACTCATTGCAATTTTTACAAAATTCACTTCAAAACTAAATAAATTAATGAATTTTATAACCAGTGGTTGCCTTTACATTTTCACAAATCATGCTATAAACTTTCATAAAGGGCACTAGACAAAGTTATTGTAGTTATGTATTGTTGCAATAAACAACTGATAAAATTATCCACCCTTAAATATAGTAAAGTATTAACACATTTTGATGCAATAAATAGGTATGATTTAAAAGTAATCATCCCTCCAAAACAGAGAAAACATCTTTCACAAACATCTACATGCCTGTCTCCTTTAAAGTGTTTATAGTGTATATAATGAGTTGTATTTGTAGGGGTTATTATAACACAATTCTTTAAAAAAATTCACTTCAAAACTAAATAAATTAATGAATTTTATAACCAGTGGTTGCCTTAAAAAAACACTTTTGTGAAGGAAAAAAAAGAAGAAGAAAGAAAGTAAACAAACTATATAATTAATGTCATTGTTTGGGTCTCTTGAGAGTTTAAGTAGCCTAGATGCTGGGCAATCATTTGCAAGGGTTGTTCCATTTAGGCCCATATCAAGTAGGTTTATGACGCACAAAGTAGGATGCGACATTTGGCCAAAGTAATGCCATCCCAGTCACCAGTATGAGCCATTGCGTCATGGACCATAATAATACTCAGACATCCCCAGATAGTGCATTCATTCAGCCCCCCTCTCTTTAATCCTTTGTCCTGCTTTTCCCTCCCGAAGTCCAGCACCTGAATGTGCAACTCTGTGCCGGGTTGCTTAGCGACGTCGAGTGGCGTTTCTGAGCCAAGAGATCCTCTTGTTAAATCGAGACGTAATGTAACACTGACATCTTCCTCCAGCGACCGACCAATGATGCCAACAGGTGTTTTGTTTTTATTCGTGGCGGATATGTGCACGTATGTTATTTTATCAGCATTTTGGTCAATTGTTTTTAGAGTGATCGCGCGCTCAAGTTCTGGATAGGAGCAGATGGCAAACTCTCATAATCTGCTTTGCTCAGAGTGGCCACGCGCTCCTTGAATGCATCATGCGCCGAGGTAAGAATATAGCATAGATTGTTTTCAGTGTCACCTATGGATCTTTCATGTGCCTCTATTTCGTTTATATTTGCGTGTATGTATTAAATTAGTTTAACGCGACATATTTCTTTATTCACTGAAGACTAATCAAGACGTTCAAACACAAAACAGCCTGTGCTTTTGTTCATGGAAGTGAAGGGACGCATTATGAGGGTTTCAGACTAATTAAAAAAGTCAGAATAAAACGTTGGGACTTAAAAGTATGTGTTCTTTTACATATCTATATATTTGTTTCAACAGCGTTTTCAAACAACGTTTCAGTTACCACAAAAGTTTGTCAGAGTACGCTAAATAGACTCGGGAACAGAAGTCGCGTTAACCTGAGGAGGTAACCATGGTAACAGTCTGCTGCTCGAGAGCTTTCCGTTAAGTGTCGGACGGGAAAATGCCAAAATGCCATTATCACTGAATTACATATTTATATATTACAAATTATAATTACAAAACTTAACTGTATTTGACGGGTAGCTATAGAGGCACCAAAATACTATTCTTATCACGTGGTCGAAGAGAAATTTACCGATAGAAATTCCTTTAAAACGTCGACTCCCTGAAAGTCTTTGAATAATTGGCACACGGTTGAAGAGGACAAAATTTCCCACGGGGTTTCTTGCTATTTTTCTTCATTCTGATACGAAGTAAGATTGGCTTCAGCAACCTGTTGAAAGTATTGGCAAATTGCCCGCTGCGATTGTAACATGAACAAGGTAGACGACAGTTGAGTTCGTGCTCAATCATCAATCTTGTAGACTGTCTGTTACTCTGGATTTATGCGTTTTTAAAAAGGCACTATAAACCCACCTGATTTGTTTTTCACCTCTCTAGTGCATGCATTTGATGTCTTCACTGTACACCATTTTAGAGCGGTTATTATAATTCTCCTCTTTGCAATGCCATTTGAATTCAAGGTAGCCTAGATGTTACTGAAATAAAACCATGCTCAGTGCAATTCGGATGCACCGGCAAAAGTAATTGTTAAGCTTTTCTTGCATCAAGTGGAATCCTAAGAGCCTCAGGAAGGGTGTCGGGGTATAATATTTTTCATAAATATGTTTTCACATGATTTTGCTCTTCCTTTCTCCCTTTGGTTTTCTACAGGACTTTGACGGGCCCAAATCCTAGCTATCATGTGAAGGCTTTGGCCTCCTCTTTGACATTGTGCCATTAAGCTGCGCTGCCTTACTCAAGGCACTGGACTGTAAAAATGTCACCACCGGCATGACCATCATTACTTATTTAAGATCACTACATCAGGAGGTAACATCGCCACCAGCAACGAATTGGCTCCTTGGGCACAAAGGTGCTATGTTATTACTGTACACCCTAGGCTTTTATGCCTCCCTTGGCCTGGCTGCCCCCCAGGGCAACTTCCCCAGGCTCGAGAACATAGGGGCATATAAATCTGTCAGCACCATGCCGACGAGGGCCACATGTGGAATTCCTGAGAGAAGTACTTTCTGTCAAGCCGGCCAGGTTCAGGAGGATCTCCACACCTGTATCCAGAAGTTCTGCATCCAGGAGTGTCCGTATAGCTCCTCTACGCTAGACTACACTGACATCCTCGCCACAAGCATGGGCATGTGCTGGAAGGGTGATGCATGGGACCACCGTCCAGGCGCGGAGGTCGATTCCACCAGCTTCATCTTTCCGACCTCAAGAGGTTGTCCGGCTTCCCCGTCGACTCTAAGCTTCGGCCTAGCGAGCTCCTTTACTCTAACGGTGTGGCTGAAACTCGAGCAAGACACTGTAATGTAAGTAGACACATGTCCAGAATTTTCCCTTAAGAAGATCAGAGAGGCAGTGCAAGTGTTTCTGTCACTTAGAGAGTGAATATTTTACTTAATCATCCGGATCAGTTTCAATACCTGCTCCGTTCCAGGAAAAGAATGACTTGTTAGAACACTGCTGTATGATCTAAACCTGATATGGATTAGCTCGGGTGCTCGCCTTGCCAGAGCTGGTTTTATTCAAACTAGCTTTCCTGTGTAGTTGATCCCCACTCAGCTGTCGGTTGTCCCCCCCCCCCTCATTTTCAGACATTTCCTCTGTTGTATCTCCACTTTGAAACTGTGTTGGTACATGGATCACATTCTGTGAGGAGTCCTGCCAAGTTGAAAAAGCTCTGAGCCCTGTTTGCTCTGCTCTGGCAAGACCAGCTGTGGCCAGTTTTAGATCAATGAAATGAAATTGCCACAGTGTTTCCTGAGCTCTGGTAAAAAAGCATCAACTCAAAGGCCACTTTGTTTTTCCACAGCACAGAAAATGATATAGTTGAAAGTGGGTGATGGGATGAAAGGATGAAGTCAGAGAGGCTGTAGAAGTAGAACAACTGTTTCAGCATTTTATATCAAGTGCAGAGCATGAAAAGAGAGAGAAAGCCACAAGCGTGTAGTGTTGAAAAATAAATAAGCAAGTACGTGCGGTCAAGGCGGTTCATTCGTCGCATTCTCTCCTTGAAGTGGCGTGAGGCAGAGTCAACAGGCTTGCGTGTTTATTCTGTTCTTAGTGAATTAATTGGCCTGTGTTTAATACCTGCCTAAGATCCCCTTGGTAATATAACATAAAAATATACACCGCTCAGACGTAGTTTTTTGGAACACTTGCCTTAGTAGACATATTGAATACTAAAATGTTGCCTTCCCTGGAGAAGCCTGGCCTAATTGCAAGTGAAGCAGGCAGCAGAAGCGTGGCTATAGGTGAGATGTTTCTGACTCCGGGGCCAGCCGCAACCGGAGTACAAATGCTTTATGATTTATTGGATGCGGTGGCCTGTGTTCGTAAATGCTGCTGTTTCCCGTAAAACGTCTGTAATGGTGTTTCATATGACAGTGTATGAGGGTGTTTTCGAGTAACAAGAAAAAGCAAATGGAAAATATTGATACAACATGCATAAATGTCAGAGTGATGTTCATTTTAGATGTCAAGGAATTTCCCAGTAAAAGAGAGTTGTTGGATTATTTTAAAGGTATTTTTAAAGGGGTATTGATTGTTTACTAATGTCTTTCACTGTTCCTATATGAAATAATGAGGTGCTACATATGAAGTTGCATTATGCAATTCAAATTATTGAATGTAAATTTAGGCCTGTTCTGGATATTCTTTTATGTGGCTTATTTTGAGTACTTCAATTTCTCTCAGCCAATCATTAATGTTTGTTTTCCTAATGCACAGGACTTTAATGGAAAAGAGCGCTGTGGGCAGACTGGTGCTGCTGGTGACCGTCTCCAAGGATGATATTCAGATCCACTACGGCATTCACAGCAAACAAAACTTCTCCATAAGCATGAAGACTGCAGGTCATATTAGCATAGGCCACTGGACACACATGGCTCTACAGGTAGGCAGAATGTTTCTATTCTCTTATTCCTTCCGTGGTCATTTATATGTGTCACATACTACTCAAGACAACATGACAGAATGTAACTTCATAATGTGATATCCAACTGTAAAGTCAAACTGAATATTTAGTGGGAAATAGGGCAGGACTTGATTTTATCCATCAGGATTTGTTTGAATCACTTTTGGATATACCGTGATGTTATTGTTTAATTTTTGGTTATGTTTACAGAAAAGAAAAGTTGTTTCAGGAGTGGAAAGTTACTGTATATTTTCAATAAGACAATGTATTAATAAAAAATAAAAATTGCAGTTGAAAATTGTCAAGCTATTTAATAGGGGTGCTCCGATTGATCGGCTACCGATCACTATCGGCCGATAATCACGTTGGGATGATTGATCGGCGGCCTCTTAAAAGGCCGATCTAAAAAAAAACGATATCAAGCTGATGACGCTGCTGTGAGAGGTTTGGCATGACATGCAGCGGCACCGTCTCACAGAGCGGGTGAAATAATTATAATGCTGAAGGTGAGGTACTCACCTTCATATATCTTCATTAAATAACTTATAAAGTAATTTGAAAACCTCGTGTGAATGTAATTTCACAAACAGCGTGAGTGAATCACCACTTGCGCGTGCGCTCTCTTCCTCTCTCAAAAAACGCAAATGACTTCAAATCACCACATCGCGTCTGTCTATAAACGAGCTGCACGCTGCACAGTTGACACAGGAATTGTCACTTGCACAATCGAGGCAGTGTCACATCGTCACTAAAGTTTATAAATTGCATTACTTTTTAATTCTTTCCAGTGTTTAATCATTCAGCACTCGCGCGCTATAAAGACAGCCTTCGTACTTTCAATGTGGAACTAGGCAAAGCTAGGTCCGAACTGATTGCACTATATTATGTGTATAATCGTTTTCTTAAATTCATTTTAAACCTCTTAAATCAATTTTTTTTTTAAATAATTTAAGTTTTTTAATTCCTTGTTTTATTGTTGTGATTATTGTTTTTATTTTATTTTATGTAAAGCACTTTGAATTACCACTGTGTATGAAATGTGCTATACAAATAAACTTGCCCTGCCTTGCCTTGCCTTGGAGACCGTGCACTCATGTACGCTCTCAGCGCACACACATAATGCCAAGTTCACATTATTCTGTTTGCAGTGCATAGGCCTACGTGGTGCATATTTTTTCCGCGCTCATGTTAACGGATTAAAGCGTTCACTGCACACGGTTGCGGTTCGGCAGTGCGTTCAGGAGCGGTGCGTCTGCAGCAGTGCAGAGATCGTTTCTGCACCGAATCTGTTGCTGCGCTGCAAGCGCTGAATTAAAGTAACAGCGCATTGTTTGCAGTAAATATGAACATGGATTGACACGAAAATGTAGTAATTACACCATAAATGCATATAATTAAAGTCTACCGTGTTTCACCTAGACTTAAAGTCTTAAACCTAGACTTTTTGGCTAGGTTTAAAGGGAAAGAGCACTTTTAGATAAGGCAAAAATAGATGCACTCGTGGAGGTAGGAAAACAAAGTGCTTTATGAACTGCAGGATTGCTTGTAATAAAGATTTAAATACAAAAGGAAAGGCAGTAGAGCTGACTATTTCTGTCAATGGTAAGTTTGTGATAACGTAATAAAAGTAGTTTAAATGTTTTGCCACTTGCTTGAGCAACTTATATATAATGTGTTGCTTACATTTATTGTTTAAACATGTCTGTGTAAAATTGTATTACTGTACTGTGTAAAAAAAAGAATTGCAATGCTGAAAAAGCATTTTCAGTGACAATGTTTGGGTTTGAAATCAAAATAATGGATAAATGTTGTGTTTGTGGTAAATAGCCATGGATCAGTAGCGGACTCCTGTGTGAAAGCTGCTTTCCCTCTCACAAGAGTCACCTAAGAGGGGAATTTCCCCCATTTTCAAAAATGAAATTCGGGCCCTGAATAAATGTCTAAAAATCCTGATTGGAGTATCACTATAAATAGTTCTAAATGATAAAAAGAAGGCTTTAAAAAGATCGGTATCGGTGATCGGTATTGGCAGATACTGCTTTCTGTGATCGGCGATCGGTGATCGGCCTCAAAAATCCTGATCGGAGCACTCCTACTATTTAATATGTTACAACTCAACTTACTGTTGCAATAGAAAATGCCTCAGGACAGAAAGTTGTGTTTGTCAAACCATTTCATGATGTAGTCTAAATGGTTGAATTTAATTTTTTTTGTGAATGAGATTTTTCAGGCATAAAGAGGCTTGATGTGATCAAGATTATTTAAATATATATTGTACAATAAAGTACATCCTGCTTAGGTGTCAGTAGGGATGAAAAGATTTTCTAGCATTGTGGAAGAAATCATATGATGTAATAAGCTTGGTCAGGTGTCATGTAGTGTAGCTCTGGCAACACTAAATCACTATCCATTCATTTTTGAGGTAATTAGCCGCTGAAAAATATTGATATTAATATTGTGTCGGGAGAACCCGCAGCAGGTTCTCGCTGAACCCATGTCACAACAGATTTCCACTTTGGACAAGATGCATGAATAGAAGGCGTTAATTACAGTGGTAAACATCTGCTTTCCTGCAGCTGTGAGGGCAGGAAGGGGGAAGAGAGCAGGTCAACCCCTCATACACCCCGCTCTGAATACATATCAACACACACACCAGGTCCAGTTGCTCCTGCTTCATTCCTGTCAGAAACATTCAGCTGCTTTTGCCTCTTGTTTTCAAAGAATGATTCGCATCCAGTGCAGCAATGCAAACATGAAGAGCACAAAACTGTGGAATTGCTGGGTCATGTTTCATTCTCAGCTTTCAGAGCCCTTTGCACTGACAAAGTACCAGTCAGTCCCATTAGGACTGGCTCTCTGGCATTGTTCAGCTTTGGAAATGGCAGCCTGTATCTCTGTGTCAGAAATGAAAAGAGAAGGAGCAGAGGATAAACTTGGCCATCATCAGGAAACAGAGTGCTCTGTCTGTGGAGAGCATTACCTTACAATAGTAGTGATTATTATGGCTTTAAATTGCAATCGTTCAGATTATGAATAGCAGGTTGACTTCTGGGACAGAAAACATTATTATGATAATGAGATCCTTCCCACAAATTCAGAGGTAATATGTTCCCTTCCTGTGACAGCTTTGACTTGGACTATATAAGAGATATTTTCTGTGCCCATTAGGAATTTAAACTGCAGACCGGCCACTGTATTCTAGGGACAAAATTAGCCTATTTTCAGCCTTAACTCTTCATGGTGTAAATTGTACTGAACAATGACGTGACGCGATCAAATAGAAGCGCGCACTAATGCAACAAATATGTGGGCAGTGTGGAAGCATTTAAAAGCATTAGTAGTGGAGATTTTTCAATGACTCTTTCTTCAGGTTGACAGTTGGTGGCTTTATGAGTGAGTCATTGAACTAGGGATGCACCGAATGTTCGGCAACTGAAATTATTCAGGCGAAAATAGCAACAAAAGCTCTTTTGGTGTTCGGCCGAATAAATTGGACTGAACAATGACGTGACGCGATCAAATAGAAGCGCGCACTAATGCAACAAATATGTGGGCAGTGTGGAAGCATTTAAAAGGGGCCGAGAAAGACGCAAAAATCATTACAAGCACCGACAGTGAGAGACTGTTTAGTACTGCATCGCATGTCTTCGATGAGAAGTGGAAGGGATGGTTGTTGCTGGTTACTGTATGATGACTGAAATTGCGAAATGCCCTTAAACAAGTAAATAAACTGCAGAATGTTGTGTTTTCTAATACATGTATGCAAATAGCGCTGCGTGAGTTCGAGGTGCCAGGGTTCAAAGTTTAAAGCGTGAGGAAAATCTGCGCTGAAATAGTGTTATTCATCAGTTGCTCAGTAACATTTTTATGAATTTTTACAAGGCATGTGACAATGTGATACGTGCAACAAACATCTTCCCAAATTCGTTATGAGAATCATTTATAAATCTACTGTTGTCAACAAAAAGAAGCACTGAGGTCTTCCTGCGGGTTTCTGCCAAAATAAAAGCTGAGAAAACGCAAGAACTCCATCAACATTAATAAATGTTATTATTGTGTTGTTCTGTAAAATAAAATAAAAAAGACAATAATAATGATAATAATAATTACAACAGCTCTATTAATACATTTATTATAGCATTCACACAGTGTTCAGACTGGGATCTGTTATATTTTCTAATGTTTTAAAAGAAGTCTCTTCTGCTCAGCAAGGCTGCATTTATTTTAAAAATACATGCCTGATTCAAGAAGGGGGTCTCAAAAATGGCCAAAACATATTATTTTACTAACTTATCTCCTCTAATTAATCTAATTTCATCTTTGCTTTAAAAAGCACTTTTATACTCTGTTTAAATCATATTTGTGACATTATTTTATATGTATATTTGATTATTTCTGTATTTTCACTAAGTTTGATCAGTTTTCTGTCGATCAATGCACTTGAAGCACGTGCTAATTGCGTTGCACTTTACATTAATTTAACAGAAAAGACAAGAAGGGCGAAAACACACTGTTTTATGTTTTATCAGTAAAAGAAGAGTCAAACCGTCAGCTGATGTCCGTCTGGTTACTACTCATTGGAAAAAAACACACAACGCAGATTACACCGGTTACATTCGGCCTTCGGCCCAGTGTTTCATTTTGTTCGGCTTCGGCCAATAATTTTCGTTTCGGTGCATCCCTACATTGAACTGTTTACTCCTTAGTTTGAAAACAAACATTGATTCATTGACAAGCTGAACAAGTGATTTTATGAGTGATTCACTGAATCATTTAATCAATGAATTAACTAAAAAAACACAGATTCTTGCAGAAGACAAACACATTATAAGTGCATCATTTGAATCGATCACTCAACTGGTTCATTCAAAGTTGCTCAGAGACATGCACCTGTTAATTCTGCTTGACTTCATTTGGTGAGCTATTTTCATTGAGAGAGCAGAAATGTCTAAAATGTGTCTAAAATGCTTTTAATTTAT